TAATTAACTTGTTAGTGACTCATTTATGTAAATGATATCATTATATATCTTGTTTTATTCTATACATAGTTCACCGTGTTCCGTTATTTTTAAACTTTATTTTAATACAGAAATACAAGATGCCCAATTTTATATTGGAAAATTATATGTTGATAGCTGGACATCACTTAGAAACAACATTTCAATAATAAAATAAAACAAATGGCAATGGAGTGTAACCGGACATAAAGTCGCAGTTATTTTATTAAAGGAATCATACTAGAATATTTTTAAGTTATAAATTGAAATAAATATAATTAAAATATTGTTATTCTGAGTTAGTATGCGAGTGTTTTTTATTTGGTAAGTGTGAAAATATTATAGACTTTTATTCAATATATTTAATTTATATTTTAATATAAATATAAATATTTTGTAAGATAATAAAGTTTTTTTTTTGTATAAAGTCTAGTCAAATTTAATAAGAAAATGACGCTTTAACAACTTTCTAATACAACTAATTAATCCTTTGTTATAACAATATAATAATTATCAAAAGATGTGACATTTGTCTAACTTTCATGTCAGCAAACCTTTATTGTTTCTATAAGTAGAATAGTTGGTTACAAAGAAGTTGCTTTTCATGTCAGAAACAGCGCTGTGGTGAGTTTTCTTCCTTTTGTCTGTGCAGATTGCATTACCGAAATGGCTTGGAATGGAATTTCCGTGAGGCGCAGTGAACCGGAAGTGGTGGTGCCGGCAAAAGCTACTCCGAGTGAAGTAAAGCATCTTTCGGACATTGATGACCAAGAAGGGCTTCGCATGCAGCTCTCCTTCATCATGTTCTATAAAAGGGAGGAGGCAATGAAGGAGTTTGATCCTGCCATGATCATAAAAAGGGGAATCTCTGAAGCTCTCGTTCACTACTATCCCTTGGCTGGGAGGGTGGCGGAAGGGTCTAACAGAAAGCTGGTGGTGGAGTGCAGCGGTGAGGGGGTTATGTTTGTTGAAGCTGAGGCTGATGTTGCATTGGAGGAGCTTGGTGACTCAATTGGACCACCTTGTCTCCATAGGAAACACTTCCTCTATGCACTGCCTGCATCTCAAGGAATTCTTGCCTCTCCTTTGTTGTTCATTCAGGTAATCAAATACAAACATAACCATATATATATATATATATCATTAATGGATATTAATAGGTAAAAACAGTTTAATTACCTATTCGAAAATGAAGTATGCATGATATCATATATCCACTCATCATTAGCGGTGACTTTTATTTCAATGTATGATTTTAATGATTAAATTATTAGTAAGAAAATATTAATTATTCAAGAATTATTTAAATTTAATTTTATATATTGTTATTTAGTCTCATGAAATTACTGATTTAAAACAATTAACTTTTCAAAATTTACATTTTATGATACAACTCATTTAAAATAACATGTGTGACCAAATTTATTTACATATATATTTTATTATGTAATTTTATTTGAATTGTATTAAAAATTTTATCCTATATTATATTTTAAAATAAAGGAATTTGTAAATATTCATATATTCATATATCTTAAATTATTTTTAAAAATTATTTTACGTCTAAATTAAATATATATTTATTTTATTTACTTGAAAATAATATAAAACATCATTTTCTGACACATGAAATATATCATATAACAAACATATTTCTACAATATATTATATATAATATAATATCTAAAAAAAACATATTAAAAGTTTTTTCTTATATTATACATAACCAATACAAAAAAGTGAAAATATGGTAAATGTTTTTAGACAAAATGAGATAGACAAGATAGACAGTAATTAAGTAATAATTAAGACAACAATTAAAAAACAATAATAATAGCTTGACATTCAACTTTTAGATAAAGAATATCTTAGACAACAAAGTTTTATATAAACAATTAGATAACAATCTTTTTAATAATAAAATATTAAATTGAGATGAGTGATTATAGCTTAAAATAAAGTTATAATATATTTGTCACATGAATAACATGTTTGTAGAATGATTATACAAATGGATATAGGTGTGAACATATTCATCATTTTTTCTTTTAAAATGAAAACCCTAAATCGCATGTCTCAGGTAACTCGTCTTTCATGCGGAGGGTTCGTATTTGCCGTGTGCATGAATCACGTCGTGAGCGACTCTTTCGGGCTGGTTCAGTTCCTCAACACGGTGGCAACAATGGCAAGGGATCCACACGCCGCAATCCAACAACCGGTGTGGAGAAGAGACATATTTAGCGCACGCAACCCTCCATGTGTGACTTGCACACACCACGAGTACGAGGATGTTGTCCACCATAGTACTACAACTACTTCTTCACAGGAAGACTTGTCTCACGAATCATTTTTCTTTGGGAAGAAAGAGATTCAAACGCTTCGAAATCATCTTCCCCAGAACCTTCAGAAATGCTCAACTTTCGAGTTACTTACGGCATGCTTATGGAAGTGTCGTACAATGGCGCTTGATCTTGACCCCAACGAGGTGGTTGGTGTGTCGAGTTTCGTCACTACTCATGGGAAGGTGGATGTGCCAAAAGGGTATTATGGGAATGCGTTTGTGTTTCCAATGGCACTATCAAAGGCTGGTTTGCTGTGCAAAAGCTCGTTAGGGTATGCTTTGGGGTTGATCAGAGAAGCCAAGGGTCGAATGAGTGAAGAGTACGTTAGGTCAGCGGTTGATCTTATGGTTCTGAAGGGGCGTCCTATGTATAGGACACATGGGAGTTTCTTTGTAGGGGATATGACTCGTGTGGGTTTTGGTGAAGTTGATTTTGGTTGGGGAAAGCCCGTTTATGGAGGTCCTGTTGGAGCCATACCATTAGTCAGCTACCTTGCAAGGTTCAAAAATGGTAGAGGCAAAGATGGGATTATGGTGCCAATATTGTTGCCACAGCTTGTCATGAAAAGGTTTCTCAGGGAGCTCACCAAAATGACTAGTCCCGACATCAAAACAAGAGCTAGATCCATGATATAACGTTGTTTAATCTCTCACTTCCATTTCATAAGGTTGTTTCAGGTTTTATTGGGCATTACTATGTTTGTGGATCCATGTCCTACATAAAGCGGCAATTTCTTCCTGTAACTTTCGTCTATAAACGATTTCCAGAAATAGAAAATGATTTCCACGTTACACAATCTGGAAGTCAATTTTATTTTTCTAGATTTATGAATTGTACAGTTCTAATTTTAAAAAATTGCGCGATAAATTTGCCCTTTTCTTTTACACGAATACAATGGATAATTCCCACATCGCATACATCTTAATGGTCCCATGAGTAGTGTGTGGTGTGTAAGTGTTGATAACAAAACATACATTATTGCTGATAAATGTGTTACCTGACTCTACGAAGACGTACAACACCAGCTAGCCTTTTTGTGGACCAGCCTATAGCCCCACAAGTTCGGAATCTTACTGAGTTTAAGTTTCAAATAAGTGAATTTAACTTTTATATAAGCTTAGGTCTAACAAACTCATCATTCAATCTTTTTAAAACGGTACCAGTTCGGTTAAAAATTTCAACTTGTTAATTCTTTCAAAAGACGGTGTTAAAATTTCACCCACATGACAAGCGACATAATGACACGTGATTGTCATGAGTTTAATATTTTTTAAATAAAATTAAATATTTTTATAAAATCAGTACTTCCTTTTAAGCTTAAAAAAATTTATCCAGAGTTTCTTTGTTTCTTCTACACACTATTTCCACCACTAACCAATGTTTTCCATTTTTCCATTTCTCAACTCTTCCAAATTCTAAAATGGTGCCATAATAATTATTCTCACACACGCAACACAGAACATATATACAAATCAATCAGTATCTTCAAATTCCAACTTTATACATGAACCTCATCATCAATCATCACTATTTTTCTTCCTCCTCTCATCTTCACCATCACCTATTCTCCTTTATTATCTTCAATCATCTCCACCTTCATTACAATTTTCTCCAATATTTACCTTCATACATATCATCCAACATAGACCCACACAATCATCATCACATCCACCTTCACCTACAAAAACCACTTTTGCATAGTGATCACAGAGGCATCTCATCTTCACCTTTATACAAACTCAAAGACCAAACTAGAAATTCTTCCTTCGCTCTCACTCGATTTTTTTCATCTTCTTCCTTACCATATTGTTCACACAACACACTAATTAAGATACATACACATACTAGAAAATTTGGAGTTTCTTATGGTTGGATTTATCGAGAAATAAGTTTACTAGGAATATGAGACCTAAACTTAACCGATTGACAATATTCTCTACTCAATAATAATGATGAAGAAGGAGACGTGACATCAATGCCGACAATGTTATTGATGTCAGTTTCTCCGTCCCACTGTGGAAAGTGTGACCATGAATAGGGGAGGTGGTGTTGGGATTGAGCACGAGAGAGGATACAAGGGGATAAGAAGTGAGTTTAATCCAACTTTTCCAACCTCCAATTTTATTTTTTACACCTTCACGAGTTTATTGGACTGGATTTTTCAAAAAAAAATATCTAATTTTGATTAAAAACAAATAAACACATGACAACCTAACTAGAGTATTATTTGCCATGTAGACGAAGTTTTAAAAAACTAAAATCATTGTTTAAAAAAAAATAAGATCAAAATAATTCAAAGTTTCACTTAACAACCATTTGCAATCTTAATAGGACCAAAATGATTTAACACATGGCATTTTTATGAAAAGATAAAAGTATATACAAAAGCTAAAGGGAAAGCTTTTTATAAAGGTAAAATAAAACCCAAGAGACTAAAGATAGTAGGACAAGCAAGACAACTGTCATATATTATTCATTTAGTCCTCTATCTACCATATGTACGAGAATATCTCAATCATTTATAAATAAGGCATTCATTTTGAGACTTCATCATATGTGGACTCAGTTCAAGTTAATCTTTATTCTATCTTTCTTTGTTTCTGTTTCCTTATATTTTTATAATATATATATATATATATCATGTCACCAAGGAGCTTCGACGTGGTCCATGGCGGGGCAGAACTGGTGGTGCCAGCAGGACCAACTCCACGAGAACTGAAAAACCTCTCTGACATAGATGATCAGGAAGGGCTACGTTTTCACCTTCCTGTGATCATGTTCTACAGAAATGGTTCAGTTGTGGAAGGAAAAGATGCTGGTAAGGTTATAAGAAATGGTTTAGGTGAAGCACTAGTGTACTATTATACCCTTTTGCTGGCAGACTGAGAGAAGGACCTAACAGAAAGCTTATGGTGGATTGTAATGGTGAAGGGATGTTGTTGGTGGAAGCTGAGGCTGATGTTTCACTGAGGGAGTTAGGTGATAAGATTCTTCCACCCTGCCCTTATATGAAGGAGTTTCTTCTTGATGTTCCAGGATCACGACGCATTCTTGGAACCCCTCTCTTGTTAGTTCAGGTAAATTATTACATTCTGCTTATACTGTGTGCTTAATTGATGCTCATCTTCATGATTCTGCTAGGTTTCTCTAACACGTCAAACTAAACATTTATAATAAGGGTTAAATATGTTTTTAATCCTTAAACTATAAAGCTAATTTGTTTTTAGTCCTTCTATCAAGGTATACTTTGATGATTCTTTTTAAAGAAACTATAATTTTTGTGTTTTTCAAATTCAACGCGTTAAAAATTCGCTGAGGTGAGGTTGTTAACGGTGGTACTACGTGATTTTTTTTTCTGACAGGAATCAACTTTTTCCAGCTTTTTTTCCTCTCTCTCCCTCCCTTCCCTCAATCTTCTCCTTAAAATCCTTCTCATCTACATACGTGAGTCTCCTTTGAATTGTGTTTAAGTTTAAGAATAAGTTTATTTTTTGTGGAACATCATAATCATAACAACTAATGTTTCAAAAGGGTTAATCTTGATGTCATTGGCTTTTGAGTAAATCTGATTCAGGAGGTGGCTACATGAACCCCAAAAAATGGTCTTTTGGCTACTGTAAACTAAAAGTGTGTAAAAAAATAACAGTTTGCTTTTGCTTTTGCTTTTGCAAATGATATAATTAAAGTTGAATATAACCAAAGCCATCTAAGGGTATCAAAGTAGGCAATTTCATTAATATAAAAGGCAACTTCAACATAGAGAGAAAAGGGCAAGAATGGTTTTCTTCATGTTCTATAAATGGAAGAAAAAACAGGTTTAATACAGCAGCAAGAAACAACATCTTGCCATTAGGAAAAATTTAAATAAAAAATTAAACTTGAAATTTAGAGAAATAAATGAATGATTGT